TTAAATCTGGCTTGAAACAAATTATTTATAATAATCTTTCTTTGTTTTACATTTATATTTGTTATCATTTCCTCATTTCTAAATAGTATGTATACACTTTCTGTTACGTTTTGTTTTGTAAAGTTATATTTTCCTAATAGTTTTTGTGATAATTCGTTAAAACAGTGAAATACTTTTAAATATTTTAGAGTATGCATAAATTAAAGGGTATATAAAAAAGGATATTTATATTAAGAGTACTCCTCATAAAGAAAGAATGCAATTAAGAAAGGTTCTCCGTGAGATTTCTGTTTTTCTTATATGCAAAAAGTACTGCAAATATATTTTATAAAGGTAATGGTACCTTATGGACGATTTTTAATTTATGTATTGGCACATTGACATGCATTTCGGCACATTTTTTAGGAAAAATTTGGCACAATTTTAAAGTTTGATTTTCCATCAACTTTTGTTTGTTCCATGCCATGGCGGAATTATACCAAAGGAAGTAATTAGAGCGAGAAGAAAGATTTTGATACTGCCTTATTTGAAAAATTGCCTTTCAAATTTGACTATAAGGCAGCTGAATGTTACAAAATAAAGCGAGAAAGCTGTTTTATTACTTCGAATGTTTATTGCACCATGGTTGCATGCAAACATTTTAAGGGTTTCCAGCAATGTTTTCAACATATTAAAAAGGATGCGGACAAAATTCATACAAAAGCGCCTTGTCCAATTTGTTGAGCAGTTATTAAAGACGGCGCATTCCCTATATTTTGTTACACTTTTCATAAGTTAAAATATTTTGTGAATATTACTTTCTTCATATGAATTATATCACAATATTTGTTTAATTGTATTTTTGGAATAAACAAAGTTCTTTTTCCTTCTCTCAGTAAGTATTCTTTGTTACAAATAGTATATATAAGCAATGGGAAATAGGGCAAAATGTGTTTTATTTCCAACCTTTGTTGGAAATAAAGCAAAACTCAGATTCTGGTATTATTTCCCATTTAAAAGTGAAATAAAGCAAATTTTGCGTTATTGGCGTTTGTGTTAGTTCACTCCCCCGCGACCGCTATTAGAAAAAAACTTTTTTTTTATGTTAGGGTGGAACCCAGCCCTGCGGAATGGTAGCGCACACCGCAATTAATTAAGGGAGCTATTGCAGAAAAATGAAATTTGGTGTGCTCATTCAGAATATATATGTAATTAAATTATAATATGTAATGCAATATCGGTGCAAGGACATGACTTCCTCCAATACATCCTTAATTTTAAAAGATTAATTTTAGCTACAATTATAAACAGAATAAAGCGAAAATAGGTAACTGTCTGTAAAATTATGTCCTTAAGCTCTGTGGCGAATTTCGTTTCGTTCCGTGGAAGGACATGACTACCTCGCATATATCCTTAATTTTAAACAGAATAAAACGACAATTGGTAGCTGTCTATAAAATTATGTTCTCAAGCTGTGAGGCAAATTTCGTTTCGTTAGGTGCAAGTACATCCCCCACCCATATATCCTTTTCTCAAAAACCAGATTTCAGCCACATTTGTGATCAGTATGCACTAAAAACCAATACTAACTTGCAAGATTATACTTTTTAACTCTCTGGAAATTTTTGTTTATGAATTTCAGTCATTTCAGAAAAATTGATAATTTATTATTTTCTTTAAAAAGGATTATAACAACATTGTTTCTAAATTTGATCAATAAATAAGGTCATTTATTTTAACTATACATAATTTATAATGTTGTCTTTTAAAATGTATTTCTCAATTTCCTTGAATTCATCTTTTTTTATGTGTTTTGTAGACCTGAGTGATGATAGTTCCCGGATCCAACATTAATAACAAATGAGCCATTAAATCTCTATTTGCATTTTCTCTCGTAGTTTTTCTTGTACGGGAAAGTCGCATATGCCTTATATTTTTATGACTGGCTTCTAAGGCTTTTTCGGGCAAACAATTTTGTTTTTTATTTCATTCTACCAAAGTTCTGCAATTTTGGGAATTCCAATAAACAGATCTCAAAAGTTTTCCAAAGCACAAACAATTTTTCCATAAGAAACACTTACCAAAAATTATTTCTGTTTTTTGTACATATAGTTGTAAACAAAACAAACCAGCAAACATTTGGAGTCATAAATGAGTCTCTAAGGAGTCCTATTTGGAGCCTTTGCCCTCACAATGAGTTCCGGTATGAGGATGTTTCCCTTCCTCCGAAGGTCGACTTATATGAGCTTAAATTCATACATCAAATGAGCCTCAATATGAGTCATATTGGAGTCTTATTGGCCTCATATATGGCTCATTTTAGACTCCTGAAACGATTTTTGGCCTCATATATGAATCAATTCAATGACTACATTCAGCTCTTATTTTAGGTTGTTCTTTGGGTCTTATTGAACGCGGCCACCTCTGTGCGCGACCTCTACGGATTTGGATGAAAGATGAAGAGATTGAAGGTCTAGGTGACATAAATATACGTGCAGCATATTTTGCCCATATGACGTAGCATTGCCTAATTACACGGGACTAAAATTTTAAGAAAACGTCATACGTACTGTTTAAAGTCAGGAGACTATTTTGTCTTGACTGTACAAATGTCTTTATTCAACAGAATCCAAAATTAGAGCGCTCGAAAAACTTTACTGTGCATGTAATTTATACTACTAAAATATTGTTTGTTCAAAGTATGTATGCATATGCTGGCTTGAATACAAAACAGGAGCTTAGATAACTAACAGTATTTCAAATTGCTTTTTAGTTTGAGAGAACAAATGTTGAATAGATAAAAGCTTAACTATGTACATATGTACGTCGGCATATTAGGGTGGCACTTAGAGGCTCTTCACAAAACATCTTCCCGCCGTTGAAAGCCAACGCTTTCAACAGGATTTTCCACGGGTAGAAGGCATAACTTGCTGATAGCTCTTTTTGTAACGCCAGTGCTTGTTTTCAACACTGCCACCCGAGCAACGCCGTCTGATCCAGGAGTCGTTTCAATTACTCTTGCGAGTGGCCATCGAAGGGTGGTAAATTTTCTCCTTTATAAGACAAGAGCGCCGAGAGGAATGGAGTCTTTTGAGCACGCCATTTAGACCGCTGTTGAAGCTGCGTCAGATACTCTGTCGACAACTTCTTCCAAAAAATTTGCTGCATGCTAGATATACGCTGCCAAAGGCTAAGACGGTTAATGTTTAGGTGGGTGACATCTGGATCAGGAATCGCAGTTAGGGGGCCACCTATTAAGAAATGGGCTGGTGTAAGAACATCATCTATGTGCTGTTAGAATTGACGACCCTACAACTCTGTTAAAATGATATTTTGCTGATTTAATGGCGGCTTCCCATAGCCACCGAAGTGGGGTGACCTAGGTGGAATGAATTTCCAGCGATCCATCATCTAAACACTGCTGCGTACCATTCGCTGGTGGTTATTGTTGAGAAATAGCTGCTTTAGTTCCGCGGCTCATTATTCGCTCCAACAAAGTTA